CTTCTTTTAATACTTCCTGGATCATTTAATATTCTGCCCAAAGCATCCTTGATTATAGCAACTCGAGGTTTGAATTTGTTCTTCAGTTCCTTGAGCTATAACAGTGAGAACAGCAATGTCGCAATGTCACTCCCAACACAGCCTATTAAATATGGGTTGTATCGTGGAGGTGGTAAGAAATTGGACAAACACAACATAGATCAACTTATATTATTTTTCCTCAACCTGATAACCACTTCTCCTTTAAAGAATGGGAAATAATAAAAATGTCACCAGAGTAAACAGGTTTAAAGGAATCCACTGAAGTGAACAGCAATTCAGAGGGGACATGAAACTACTTAAAAGCTAGAAGAAGTAGTTTTATCTGACTTCTTCTCCAAATGTAAATTCTCTCTTCTCTTTTTATGCAGATTGTGGAGTTAGATGAGGTTTGACCATCTTTGGGATTGTCAAATTTCCTGAGCTTGAACTGAACTGAACTTTCTAAACTCTGGGCTGCAGAAAACAAATGTATAAATGTTTATTTCTGCTGTATAAATGCTATCATTTCCAGAACTGAAATATAGGCTCCATAAAACTATCCACCAAAATGTTCTTGTTCAAAAGTAAAAAGGATACAAAGATTATAGGAGCAAGTCTAACAATACTCAGAGAAGACAATTTCATCTTAAGGATAGATTTAAAGAGGTATCCAAGATGAAGAACAGAATCTAGATATTTAAAATGTCCTGTCTTTGTACTGTGTTTCCGTCAGGAGCTGTGATAAAAGCATAAGCCATAGGAAGCTTGTGTTTCTCTCTAGTCATCTCCCTTCACTCTTCTGAATCATGGAAAAGGTGTACAGCTAGCTGCTAGTCGCTTCCATTTTGTTTTTTAAGTCTCTCCCTTGCATTTAAAAATGCAAAGCTTATTTTCACTAGCTTGCAGAACTATGCAAAGTAAATATTTTAAACAATATGGTAAAAGTAACAGTTGATATCTACAGTCTGCAACTAAGTTCTTACATGTCCTACAATTCATTCTTCCCAAATTTCTTGAGCAATATATAGGTTTAGAAGACCTAAAGGATAATATATTTTCTGAGAATTCTCAATAAACTATTCATAACTCTACTTTATTGGGGAAAAAAGAACACCACAAATGGATGTTGACATCAGTATTAGAACTACCATCTGTGTTGATTTTTCTGCTATCCAATAATACAAATAACTCAAAGAAACCAGGATTTGATCAAAATCCAAACAACAAAGAAATAATTTAGTTTAATAATGTTTAAATTAATAAAAATATTAATAGAATTACCACAAATGCTCAGATCTTTTTTTTAATGTATTTGATGGGATTTTTTTCCTTTTTACAAGTAACAGTAAATAATATTTATTCTATGTCTTAGGAATTCACTTCTGATCTTAAGATTTAAAATTTTATATCAAATGACACAGGAATTGTGGGAGATATATGGTGAATATATAGTAGTATAAATGCTTTTTTTTTAAAAGTAAAAATGTGTTTTATTAGCAGGTTACATGATTATACAGAAATAGAAAACATTATTAAACAACTATTTGAAATAATAATTATTAAGTATCTAATTGAAGATGAATATATAAAAATTCATTGCATTTTTACATGCTATCAGAAACCAATTTGAAAACAAAATTTAGCAGAACATTTCAATATTGTTTACAATAGCAAAGAGTTGGAAGCAACCTAAGGGCCCATCAACAAACAAATGGATAGAGAAGTTGTGGTATATCCACACAATGGAATACTATGCTGCATTGAAAAACAAGGAACTCATGCAATATTATTCAAAATGGGTGACCCTGGAGGACATTATGCTGGATGAAATATCTCAGTCACAAAGGGACAAATACTGCATGGTGCCACTGTTGTAGAATGGGTCTGACATCAGGGTTGGGGTATGACAGAAAAAACTGGATAAATTATGTATATTTTATTGAAACAGATGAGGGAAAGAACAGATTAGAGGTGATATATGATTATTATGGTTAGCACAGAATCCAGAATTAAGCTTGCATAGAGAAGTGTACTCGGGGCGGGGGGGGGGGGGGGAAGGGATGGGGGAATTGTATACAAATGCTCAGATCTTTTAACAAAGCTATTAGGTTAATTAAAACATAAAAAGCCAGAAGAGACAAACTTATTTTCATTTTTAGTACTGTTTCCAAGTAAATCTTAGCTGAGAAATTTAAAGATTATTATATCAAATCACAGCTTTCCTTCTCTCACACTGTTGTTAAGTCAGAACTGACTCAGAGCTGACCCATCAGTGAGTTTTCAGAGGATGTAAACTGTAAGGAGCTCTGGTGGCTTATATACATACACACACACATTAAGTGATAAATAAAATTACAGTGCAGTAGCTCCTTGGCAGAAAAGCTATTTTATTCATTTAGCTTTTATCTAATACTTTTAAAGTAAAAAATTATTTCTTATACCAACATTACACTGATAATGTTACCAAAATGGGAAAGCACTAACTATTTTTAATAGCCATTCTATTTTTCTAGTGCTCTAGTGTTTTGAAAATATATTGAGAAGGCATGTATTCTGAACCACTTATGATTCAGAATAATTTTGGCCTAACCAGTTTGACTATGGTTTCTATTTCAATAAGTAAAACATTGAGTCTAGTATTTACTCTTACCGTAAGTGAAAAGTTAAAAATATTCCACCTGCTTAAACGTAGCATTGAGGAAAGAAAATACATCAAAAAGGTTCAAAGCAGTCAAATTACTTATTCACTACGATTGTAAAAATATTTTAGATTATGACGATAAGAGCAAGAGAAGGATAGAGTATCTAGATAAAAAGGTTACAAAGGCTTTCAGGTTTCTAGTGCCCACACAAATTATTAAATGCCCATCTTCTTTCCTATTTGTATATGCCTTTCAAGTTATACTTGCTTGTATGTATCGTTCTCAATCGGTAGTAGATCATACGCCATTGCCTGAAAGGTGAGTTCATGCAGGACAGTGGACACGGGATCAAAGCCACGATCAATTATTATGAGCTGGGAATGAGTTTTGCCCTAAAATAACAAGACAAAAAAATTGTTTAATAAACTTTAATTTCTTTGTGTTAATACATTTTTAATCTCTTTAAAAAACAAGATCTTTTCCATAAGCTGCGCCCCTTCTCTCTACAATTGGTGTTGCTGTGCACCAACAAGTCAGAATCAACCCACAGCTGACCCTCGAGCAGGTTTTCAGAGGCTTTTAGTTAATCGCATGGAAAGAAACTGTCCATCTTTTTACTGCAGAGTAGCTGGTGGATCTGAACCATGTGCCTTCGGATTGCAGTGTAGCTTCTTATCTAGGCCACCAGAGCTCACACAAAAAAGAAAAAGTTCACTTAATTGTCTTGAGAATGTGATGTTATTTCTTTAAAAAGTAAACTCTGAGTGGCATAAATGGAAGGACATGGAAGGGATCCAGACAATGTAATGAAAATTTTTCATAATAAAGATGTAATAATACAATGTTCTGGAAACAATTTTTTAAAATGTAACATTTACCTTGCTGTAAACTATTTCCTTGTGAATTCAGTTTCATAAAATTAAAACTAGTATAAATGATAAGTAACAGCCACTATTTGAGTTATTGCTACTATTTGAGTGCTAGACAGGTGAATTAGCTACTACTGAGTGCTAAACATTAGGCTAGGTGAGGTATTTCCTTTAATTTTTACAGTAAACCTGTAAGACATAATTAAATAGGGGTATTAAGGTTTAAGATGAAATAATTGCCTCAAGTCACAGAGTAAGTGGCAGGACTCAATCCCAGGTCTGCTTTACTCCATCATCTGTGCTATAAGCCATTATGCAATTTCAAAAGATTCTACTGATGCCAGCTAAAAAGATAACTCAAAAATTAAGTCTTGTTATCATTAAATCACAAAGAGCATTCATCACTAAATCATTTACAGGGCTGGGGAAAATGACTTTCAATACTTTCATTATCTTTCAATACTTGATTTTATAAAGTAGTAACTTGGTATTATTATTATTCAAAACAGTAAGATTACAACTTATTCAAAACTCATTGTCATCAAGTTGAAACTGACTCGAAGCTGACACTCCAATGAGTTTCTGAGGCTGTAAATAGTACAAAATGAGACTGTCGATCTTTCTCCTGACGTGTGGCTGGCGAATTCAAACCACCAGAGAGGCATGGCTTTTTGGGGTAGAATGCAACTCATTGATTATGCCACCAGAACTCCCTACAACTCATGAGGTATGTATAGCAATGCAACATAGATTGCACAGACTAGAGGGCGTTTTTTTTTTAATGTTAACTATTCACCCATTTAAATAAACTTTGAAACAGTGTGGTACAATAGTTTGAGCATAGCCAGCATAATCAGACAAATCTGTGTCTGAGTTCAGCTCTTAACACTTTCTTTTAAGACTTTGGAAAAGTCTTAAAAAAAAGTTTAATCTGTTTATAACTTCAGTACCCTTATTTGTAAAGTGAAATATAACCACAGAATCTTATGCCTTATAGGACTGCTACAAAAATAAAATATTATAAGACTATGAAATAATCTAGCGTAGTACCTGGCACTCAGTAAGATCTTAATAAACTTGAGATATGAGTTTCCGGAAGGATGGGTCGAGGAGTGGGGTATTAATCACAAGGTTTCACAATTCAATGGGGGTGAGGGGTGAAAGAAATGGGAAGGACCTTCTGTGAAAAACAATGTATTTGAACCTTGTAAATAATTAAGTAGAACAGAATAAAAAAAATAAATTAAAAAGAACCACCAAAAAACAAAGTGCAATATTAACTGTTCTATCTGGGTTTGGAGACTATTGGCACTATGGGAGCCTAAAGAGCCAGAAGTGATTTCAAAAGGGAGGCAACATTTTACTAGAGTCGAGAGAGAAGGAAGAGTATATATCCACCAGGAACTTGGAGAATACATCAATTCCTAGGCAGAAAAAATGGAAAAAACAAGTTTATTTTTGCCTTTTTCCTCTACTGAAATGGCAAATGTCTAAAGAAATATTCACTACTATAATGATCCATCTCTTCATGAATCAAACATTTATTGACTATCTAGTATGTGTATCAAGCCGATGTGTTTTCACAACTGTTGTTGTTGCTATGTGCTGTTGAGTCACTTGCAACTCATAGTGACCCTATGTACAAGAGCACTAAACCCTGCTCTATCCTGTGTCAACCTCACTGTCTCCGACACACTCCCACCACCCCAATCACTAAATCAATCCATCTCATCAAGGGTCTTCCTCTCCTGCACTGTCCCTCTACTCTCCCAAACATGATGTCCCTCTCTAAGTACTGGTCCCTCCTTGCAACAGGTCTAAAGTATGTCAGACGAAGCTTCAGAATCCTTGACTCCAAGAAGTAGCCTGGTTTCACTCTCTTCAGGATAAATCTGTTTGTTCCCCTAGCAGTCCATGGTGTATTCAACACTCTTCTCCAGCACCACAGCTCAAAGGCATCAATTCTCTTTCTATCATTCCTAGTCACTGTCCAGTTCTCAGACGCATAGCACACAACTGCAAAGACTATGGCCAGGATCAGGCATACCTTACTCTCTAGCCTGATGTTGTTGCTCTTTAGTACTTTGGAGAGGTCCCTCACAGCTGACTTTCCCAATGCAATTCATCTCTTGATTTCCTGGCTGCTGGTACCAAGAGTTCTGACTGTGGAGCCAAGCAAACTAAAACCATTAACTATCTCAATCTCTTCACCATCCATAATGATGTTGCCAATTGGACCAGTGGTGAGAATCTTTGTTTTCTTGATGTTTAGCTTCAATCCATATTGAATGCTGCAGTTCTTGACATTCTGCAGCAAGTGCTTCAGGTCCTCCTCAGTTTCAGCAAGCAGGGTTGTGTCATCTGCACAAAGCAACTAAACCTGGGTAAACACTCTCCCTAGATTACCAGTCCAAAGAATCAGTAAATCTCAAAAATGAGCCCTTGTGATCTAGTGGTAAAAAACTTCACTGCAATCCAAAGGCATGTGGTTTGCATCTACCAGTGACTCTGCACAAAAGGATGGGCAATCTTTTCCAGTGCGATTTACTGCCTCTTGAAAGCCTGCTGGTGGGTTATCTATGAGTCGGTTCCAACTCATCAGCACACAATAACAACAAACGAACATTATACCTATGCCCACATGTCCCACTTAGCCAATTCTTTTGGTGAATTTTGGCTTTTTGTTTTAAAAGAGCATTATCCATGCAATAAACTCTTTTCCCTGTTATTTCCTTTTGGAAGCCCAAGGACCTCTTCCACTAGGGTATAACATAAGGCCTGCTGATTCTCCCATTATGCTCTAAGCATTCTTCTCTCATTCCATGTCCATCTCCTCTTCTAAACAACCAATAGCTTCTTCCTTTCACTCTTCAGTTATTGTTAATATGGCTTCCTAACTATTTGTTAATCTTTCATTCTCCTCAGACTTTTTATTCTCAAATCAATTCCTAATGCTGATGTTCTTCAGGTTCTAGTTTTCAATTCACTTTATGCTATCTAAATAAGGCAGAGTAATAATAACAATTTATTAAATTCCTATACATGCTAAACAACTTAGAGACTTAAAATGTTAAGCCACCTCATATTAATTGAGTAAGGCACATATTTTGTCAAATCCAATATCTAGATGGAAAAAAGTCCTCAAAATAGACAATGTGCCATAGAACAATAATAGAAACATATGTATTAACTGTTTACTCAGTCACAAGTATTATTCTAAGAACTTTATATATACTAACTCAATCCTCTCACTACCTTTTAAGATGTATTGCTGCCAAGGACCTCTGTAAAGTGCTAAAAAAATGATTACACTTTAAAGACTGAAACGTGGCTGCCCCAAACCATAGTATTTTCAATTGCTTCTTACATATGTGAAAGCTGGACAATGAATAAGGAAGGGTGAAGAAGAATCAATGCCTTTGAATTACAGAATTGACGAAAAATATTGAATATACCATGAACTGACAAAACAGCAGATGCAGCCCTGGATGTGCTCACCAGTATATGCCAGGAAGTTTGGATGACAGCTGCTTAGTCAACTAACTGGAAGAGATCCATATCTGTCCCCATTTCCAAGAAGGCCAGTCCAATAGAATGCGGAAATTAATCAAATAATATCACTAACATCACATGCAAACAAAATATTGCTGAAGATTACGCAAAAATGATTAGAATAATACATTGACAGAGAAATGGAAGCAGTTCAAGCTGAGTTTAGAAGAGACGATGGGACCAAGGATATCAGTACTGATGTCAGACTGATCAAGGCTGAAAGCAGAGAATACCAGAAGAATGTCTATTTGTTTTACTGACTATGCAAAGGGATTTTACTACGTGGATCATAACAAATTACAGCTAACATTGAGAAGAATGGGAATCACAGAATATTGATTTATGCTCATATAAACTTATACCTAGACCAAGAAACTGTTGTCTGAACAGAGCAAGGGGACACTGCAAGGTTTAAAATCAGAAAAGGTATGTCTAAGAGTTGTATCCTTTCTCTATACCTATTCAATCCATACATTGAGCAAATCATTCCAGAAGTTGGACTCTATGAAGAAAAATGTTGCATCAGCATAGGAGGAAGACTTATCAACAGCCTGCATTATGCAACTGATACAACCTTGCTTGCTGAACAAGAGGAAGATTTTAAATGCTTGCTGCTGAAGATCAAAGACTATAGCCGTTAATACGGATTGCATCTCAATTTAAGAAGGCAAAAATCTTTACCACTGGGTTAATAAATAACATCATTACAGATTGTGAGAAGATTTGTCAATGATTTCATCTTACTTGGATCCACAATAACATCTTTGAGACCAGAAGTCAGGTGATCAGATGTATTGCATTGGGAAAGTGTGCTATCAGGGACCTCTCCAAATTACTGTGGAGCAAAGATGTCAATTTTATGTCTAAAGAGCACTTGATTCAGGGCATGGTCTTTTCAATCCCTTGGTATACATTTCAGAGCTGGACAATGAATAAGGATGAGGGAAGAAGAATTGATGTCTTTGAGTTGTGGTGTTGAAGAAAATAGTCCCAAGTATTGTCAAAAAAATCAAACAGATATGTCTTGGAAAAAGTACAGGCAGAGGGCTCCTTGGAGGCAAGGATGTTAAAGCTTCATCTCACATACTCTGGCCATTATTTGGAGAGGCTACTAGTCCTTGAAGTTTGACAGCATATTTGGACGAGTGGAAGATCAGCAAAAGAGAGGAAAATCCTCCACAAGATGGACTGACATAGTGACCACAGGAATGGTTTCAGGCACGTCAGAGATGATGAAGATGATCCAGGATAGGACAAGGTTCTCATCTGTTGTTCATAAGGGGTTGCTATGAGTTGTACTTGACAGCAACTAAAAACTACAGCCAAAACAACAAATATGCCTTGAAAGAAACACAGCCAGAGTGCTCTTTAGAAGAAATTATGGTGAGACTTCATCTATTTTGGTCATATTATCAGGTGGGTCTAGTCCCCGCAGGAGGAAATCATGCTTGGAAAAGCAGAGGATTAGTGAAAGAGAGGAAGACTCTCAACAAGATGGAATGACACAGTGACTGTAACAATGAACTTAAACAAAGCAGAGACAGTGAGGCTGGCGCACAATCAGGCAGGCTTGCATCCTGTTGTACAAGTCCGGTTACAAGTTGAGAACCCAACAACAATCTCATAAGATAGGTATTCTCATCAATACAACTATGAGGTATCAATCATCTCACCCTAGTAAGAACAGCAAAATTTAGCAGAACAGCAAGCATCAAATGCTGGCAAGGTTGTGGAGAAACTGAAACCCATATTCACGGTTGGTGGGAGTGTAAAATGGTGCAACCACTATGGAAGGCTGTATGGCGCTTTTTCAAAAAGTTGCAAATAGAGATATCATTTGACCCAGCAATTCTACTACTGAGAATTGACCTTAAGAAACTGTAATTGCCACTCAAGCAGACATATGCACAACCATGTTTACTTGCAGCTTTTTTCACAACAGCAAAGAGCTGGAAACAACCCAAGTGCCCATCAACAAATGAGTGGATAGAGAAGCTCTGGTATATTCACACAATGGAATACTATGCAGCATTGAAAAACAAGGAACTCATGAAATATTATTCAAAATGGATGACCCTGGAGGACATTATGCTGAGTGAAATATCTCAGTCACAAAAGGACAATTATTGCCTAGGGCCACTGATATAAAATGGGACTGACATCAGGGTTGAGAGAAGACAGAAAAGGAGGGGAGGAAAGATGTATATTGCATTGAAACAGATGAGGGAGAGAACTGTTTAAAAGAGATATATGAATGGGTATTCTTGTTATTACAGAAGTACAGAGCGAAGGCTGCATAGTGGAGTGGACTTGGGGGGCAGGGATTGCACAACAATGAAAGAGTTTTTCTTTCTTTTCAAGAACTGAAAACGCTAAGTCTCTGTAAACTTTCATTAAAATTAATTTAAAGAAAATTAAAATAAAAAAAGATATGTATTCTCTTATTATCCCTATTTTATAAAATACCAGACTGAGAAACAGAGAAGTTATATACTCTGTCAAATATTGGCATTCAATTAATTACATGAAAAAGTCAGGATTTAGATGCAGTGCTGACTTCAAAACTCCAATTTTCTTTGACTAAAGCACATTGTCCATTATGGTGTCCACTACCATCTATGTTAATGAACCATAAATCAAAACCAACAAATAAATTAAAAAAATTTTTGGCTTATAAGGAAATAAGAGATTTTATTCATATTGACATTTTGCCTCTCATACAGTACCTTTATTTGGCTCTTTTCATCAATCTTGTAGTAGTCTTCAAGTTTTTTTTCCACAAGCTGTGCAAGCTTATTGGCATTATCTAAAGGTTTGCTAAATGTGGGGGGGAAAGTTCAAAAGTTAAAATTTAAAAATTAAACTATGAAATGTATTAATCTAAAAATTCTATAAACATGGAAAAGATCAGACGATATATGAAACGGATATTCTTGTATAAAGAGTTCTGGTGGAGAAGTGTGGAGAGTTGTGCAACTAATTCAAAGGCTGCTCCTCTCTGGTAGTTGAGCCCATCAGAATCCTGCAACAGAGAGGTGGGCAATCATCTGCCATCTGATTTACAGCCTCAGAAACCCAAAGGACAGTCAGCTGTGAGTCAGGTCTGTCTTGACAGCAATGGTTAAACTCCTGTTTGGAATTTAAAGTGTCCTTGTGGCACGAGGGTTTAAGGATTCATCTGCTAATCAGAAGGAAAATTTGACCCACCAGCCATACTGTGGAAAAAATATAAGGCAGTTTGTATTCAAAAGATTTATAGGCCTGAAAACCATATGGGCAGTTCAACTCTATCCTACAGGGTCACTGTCAGCTGGAATCAATTTGATGGTAGTAGGGAGTGTTTTGGTTTAATGGTTAAGCACCCACCTGCAGTCATGGGTTGTGCCCTCCACTTATGTAATGGTGTGATGTGGAAGCTTTGTAATGATGCCTTTTTCCTCTCCTGAAATGGCAAATGTCTAAAGAAATATTCACTACTATAATTACTTTGTAATGATGTCCTGATCTAATAAATCAAGTAAAAGGTTTAAGGGTGGAATGCAACACTCCTTAATCTCACCACAGCCCTAATTGGATTCAAGGGGAGTTTCTATAAGGTGTGACCTGTAATATCTATTTTCTTACTAGAGATAAAAGGAAAGTAAGGGAATCCAGTACCATCATGAAAGAATTGCCATGTGCAACAGTGAATGAATAAAAATGAAAACCAAACAAAAAACAAACCTCACACAAAAACAACAACAAAAAACCCCACATTAATTAGCATAACATAGTCTACCAAGAAAATGTTCTATATCCTATTTGTTGAGAATCACCTAGAGTCTTAAAAGTATGTGAGCTGGTTTTGTTTGTTTTTTAACATCCAATGTATAACTATTGGTCTCTCCCCGTCTGGAACAAAGAAGAGGGAAGAAAAGCAAAGATGTATAGAAACAATCTATAGTATAGTGGACCATGCTAACCTCAACTTTCACAGCCCTGAGACCGAGCTCTGAAAGGGCCCTGGATGGAGTAGGAGATAAATTTGGGGAGAAACAAAAACACAAACGAAACATAAAAATGGTCAGGGTTATTGGCCTGATAGAATGGGGGAACCCTAGAGACTTTAATCATCCCTTGAAACTGAACAAATCTCACCCCCAGGGCTCAATTTTCAGCCCAACAATAGCCATAGAGTAGCAGACCTATAAGGCAAAAAATAACATCAGGAAGGCAGATACTCCTTAGCACCAATCATATAAGATTGTAAGAGGAACATTTGCCCAGGCATAGGGCCCTCAAAGCAGGAAGGGTAAGGCAGGAGGAGTAACAGGATAAGAATGACAGGAAGAAAAGTGGGAATAGTGCAGTTACATTATGGGTATTGTAACTAAAATTATGAAACAAAATGTGTATGAATGGTGCAATTTAAAATTAATTCTCTTCAAATTGAGCTTTCACTCAATTTCCTTCTTGATGCCTGGATCCTGCCTTCAGAAGTTGTGTTGATTTTGGTCTGGGGTGAAACCTGGGTATTAGTGTTATAGACTGTGTGATTTTTGGCAAGCTATAAGCTCAGTACAAACAATAAGAAACATTTTGGGCTCCAACAGGCCCACAATCTCCCTGAGTATGGTTAAGATGGGGAAAATAAACTTGATTTTGCATTTTAAATAAAGAAGAAAGAATTGTCAGGAGTGGAGTGCACCATTTTGGCCCCAGACCTCTCCTTGAGAAAGTTCCTTAACACTGGGGAAGACCAAGACACATGGTGATCTCTAAGGAAGATTCTAGTGTGCAGAGGTTAAAGGAAACCACCTTCCTCCACAAGTAGTGGGCCTTCCTCTAGAGCTGGAACTCTAAATTTGGACTTCTAGTCTCCTTAACCGTATGAGCATAAATGTCTGTTAAAATCATCCAATTTATAGTCAATCAAAAAGAACAGAAGCCTAAACACAGACTCTTAGCTCAGTTCTGTGAAAGTCTAGAGAATAATCCATACATTGCTTATAAGAAAAATAATGTTTCTAGTAGCTGATATAGGAGTAAAGAACTTGTTTGCCAAGACCTGGTAAATACATACAGTGCAACATTAGTCAGTCAGTAGGAGAAATGAAGTCTGGATATGTGCTGCAATATGAGCAGAACTTGAAGACAGCATGCTGGGCAAATACATCAGTCACCAAAGGGAAAATGTTACATGATCTCACTCATATAAGAAGACAAAGGCAAATATACTGAGATCAAAGTGTATTGGTGGTTACCAAAGGCAGGAGGAAAGGAGAAAAGCAAGCTTACTAGTGATGAGAAATCATATTGACTAAAGGTCAATATCTGATTATTATAATTGTCAGTGAGTTACAAACTACACAAGACTGAATTGGCAAGTTTTCTGATCTAGTTACAATAATATATGACCTATCTCTGGGGCTAGGGGGTGGAGGCGGAAGTTGCTAAAGCTGCTTGCACAACCAAACATGGAAGATTTGGTTCTTTGGTTTGGAGGTTTAGCCTCATGAGGTAGAGTTCATGAGACACCTCAGTTAACTGGTCTAATGCTTCTGTTGTTAAATTGTGTTTAGCACTTCTGTTCTACCTCTTAGTTTGCGGTATGGTGTGATGTGACGTCCAGGGTTCTAAAAGCTTACAAGTAACCATCCAAACACAATTGGTCTCTATTCCCCTGGAACAATAGACAAAGAATTGAATAAGAGGAGGAAGATATAGATTGTGTGTGTGTGTGTGTGTGTATCACCTCCATAAACAACTGCTCCCTGTACCATGAGATCTAAAGAACTATATCCATCTATCTATTACTGAATATTTTGAACAAAAATTGCATAGAAGAAATCTGATGAAAAGGAGGGAAGTGCAAAACCAAATTTCATATTCTTATGGATTCTAGATTTTCTAAACTATGGAGAGCAGATGAAATCCTGAAACTACGCCCCTGAGATAATGTTTAAAGCTTAATCCAAAAACATTCCCTGAAGTAATCTTAAAAATGAACAATTTAGACTAACTAGAGAAAAGGTCTGCCCTGAGCACGTTCTATCTATATGGGATCAAAGCGACAGAAAGACGGTTGAAGGGGCAGTGAGTTTATATTAGCCAGAAAAGAACAAATGATTCAGTAGAGAATGAATGCACAATTCAAAGAATGTAAGCTAAATACACACACACACACACACACACACACACACACACTCATACATACTGTTGAATTGGATATGTTTTGTCATGTATATTCTCAAAAGCAGAAAGCAAAATTTTGGGGAAAAAGAACTGATAATATTTACTAGTAGTTGGTTCCAACTCTATAGTACACAACAACACATACAGGGAGCCATGGTAGCCTAGTGGTAAGGAGTAGTGCTATCAACCTGAAGTCACACAGTTTTAATCCACCAGCTGCTCCGTGGGACAAAGATCAGCAATCTCCTCTCATGTAATTATGTTGTCTCTGATAACCTGCTGCAGAGTCAGCTATGAGTTGGTTCCAACTTGACAGTACACAACAACAAGCAGTAGTACATACAGTACAATACAGTATAGTATTGTTGTTGTGGTGGTTATGTGCCATCGAGTTGTTTGCGACTCATAGCGACCCTATGTACAACAGCCCTAAACCCTGCTCTATCCTGTGCCAATCGCACTGCCTCTGACACACCCATCCCGATTACCCCA